GACCCTCACGTCTGAAGTTGGGACTCGAGGGTGACTCCCGCATTTTTGAATTAAAATGCAGGGGTGGACCCTCGCGTTTTGCAGTTAGTACGCGGGGGTGGACTCTCGCGTTTTGCTTTGAAGAGATCGTTAATTGTAATCTCTTTTTTAAGTTCTGCAAAGATCGTTATCTTATAATCCTTACATTTGTCTCTTTGAAGTGTGAGAGTCATCAATTTGTAACTCTCATCACTGAGAAACACAGGGGTGATTGAAGTCATGATGATTAAACTATAGTAATTTTTAGACAGCCTACAATGTATTCCATCCAAACCAATGTTCAATTTGGATCTAGGAAGTGAACACTCATAGGTTAATTACTTCAAATAGGCCCAAAGTCAAGCCCATAATAGGCTATAATGAATCTCTCTCAAACAAGCACAGGAACATCACTATATAGCCCACTTCAGCTCAATCCAAATCATCTACCCTTTAAAAGAGGGAGTTCTAAAAAAACTTTTCCCACCCCAAATTACCCTTCAACCAATGTCAATATACCAAAGTTATCCCTTATAATCGTTACACAGAGTTCATCGTCATCAGAAACCAAAAGCCTACTTACCGTCGGTTCCGCCTTCCCTTTGGCAACCGGTTACGCTTCTCGTCAGCCAACATCGTTCCACGATCTTAAGGCATCAATTGCCAAAGATAATATTATTGTCCGCATCATCAACGCACCGCTTCTGCCATCGTCTCCTCAGTTCTTAGGTTTTTGGCATCGGTTAGGATCAACGAAGGTTTCTCCTTCTTCTTTACTCCGCTACACAAAAGCCTATCTCTAATCGTTAGTTCTGTGATTTAACACGCTGACGCTCTCCAGAAACCCAAAATTGAAGTAACTTCCGGCCCTCCATCGAATTTACCTTGAAGGTTCTCTCTTAATTCAACCCCCAACATTAGGGTTATTAATAATGGGAGCAACATGATCATGTAAGTCTCGCCTCTCTATCGATCTAACCTCTCACTTCGCCGGCGTCGAGGTCATCAACGCCGACTCGAATCAAGTCTACCAAGGTCTCGACGTCCTCACCAACAAAGTTCATTTTTGGAGCGCAACAGTATATATTTTCCTTTATCATCTCCTCTTGTCTAGCTAAGAATTCACCACGACTTCTCTAAAAATTGACTCTAGGAGTTCCTCACCATCTTCTCGGGACCGTTGTTGCATCGGTCGAGTTCACTTCCAGAGATTTCCGTGATCTCGCCGTGCCAGTAAAAACCTCGACTCGATTGATTCTGCACTTTTTTTTTTAAATTTATGTTTTGGTTGAATATTTTGACACTTGCTTGGTAGTTTTGTTAGATTATTGATGACATATTGTCCCGCGATGGTCTTCCGGTGAAGGAAGGGTACTTTGACAGGAAGAATTGCACATTACGTATGAACTACAATTGCTTTGGGCTTTTCTTTCTTCATTTGTGTACACTAATTAAACTTCCAAATAGATCATAGCATTCATGTGTTATGAGCTCATTTGGTCCCAAGTTTATAACTTCTCGTTTAAATCATTTCTAAGCCCTTGTGTCACGCCCCGCTTCCCAAAATACCCCGGAACCGGGACGTGAACAAGCCCGCGACGTATTAAACTGAGAAGAAATATATATACTATCATTTTTTTTCTTTTCTTCTCAATCCAATACGCTAAGCGTCAAATATACAAATCTCCATTCTTACTAGTGAGAACTCGGGACCGTGACCTGCATGGGCCACCACTAAAACCTGTCACGCCCCGCTTTCCAAAATACCCCAGAACCAGGACGTGAACAAGCCCGCGACGTATTAAACTGAGAAGAAATATATATACTATCATTTTTTTTTCTTTTCTTCTCAATCCAATACGCTAAGCGTCAAATATACAAATCTCAATCACAGGTCCCCGATCACAATAGCAAGAATATAAAGACAATCCAGAATAAGAATTAAACATATCATCAACAGATCATCCCAGACATAAAATATGGGTTCAACATACCCTTACTACAGCAACAGTTCAACTAGAAAATAAGACATACATAGTCCATAATAAAAGGAAATACTAACAACATGACCAAATCCGACACCAACTATAGAAAATACTATAAGAGTGTTCTATCAGCTACTACAGAAAGAAAAGCACGTCTAGGCTTCAGTTGGTTCTTCCACTCCATCGGAAGGACACTCCGGCTGGGTATACTCCGGCTCTGCTGCATCATCGAACTGAACCTGTTCGTCTCCTAAGTCTGACGTACACCAGAGAAAACAGGTGTACGTCAGGTGCATGGCGCACGGCAAGATCTCACATGAACAGATATTGCGGTCTAACGACCCATGCTATGACAATAGTAATACTAATATGCAAGATAATGATAAATACAACTGGAAATCTAATGATAACATACAGCTGTGTGGAAACGGTAACTGGGTTGATTACTAATCATCCTAAGACTCACTGGTCCATCTCTCAAATAGGTCCAAGTTCGCATTATCGGAAGACTGACTGTTCACCATCTCCTACGCGCATCCAATCCCGCGAAACAGGCGGCTAGAGGACTACACGCAATCCGATCTCGGCCCGGTCCGGACTCAGGCAAAGCTCAGGTGACGAAACAAGTCACGAATCCAAGTGGCGAAACACAATCCGATTTCGGCCTGGTCCGAACTCAAGCAGAACTCGGGTGACTACACAAATTCACTGACTAAAGTGACTACACGAATTCACTTTAGCCCATCAAACCAACCCCAGTGACTACACGAATTCACTGGCGCGAGCCTGGAAGATACATCAACAGCTATATCCGATCACATGAACATTAACTTCCCCATCCCAACTCTTCTCGTTTTTCTAAGTCAACACAACACATGTCTTTAGGTCTTATTCATGTCACACAGGTCACTATAGTCATAAACTCCTAACGGTTCTCAATCACAACAAGGAACAATCAATGCAACTAATCATGTACAATAGTATCATAGCATATCAGATAATCAAGACTAAGAATTTGAATCATAAAATTGTTCTAAAATAATCTTTTGAAATAATAAAGTTATTTACTTAAAAATAATCCCTTTTTCAAAATAAGTTATTTTCTCACTATATTAATTCTAAAAATAATCTTTTAAAAATAATAAATTCATAAATTCAAAAATAATCTTTTTATAAGATAAATTCTTATTAATTCAAAATAGTCTATTTTCCCAAACATAATTTCTTTTTAAAAATATGTCATTCTAAAATGATTTCTTCCACAAAATAATTTCTAAAAATTATTATAATTATTCTAAAATGATTCTTTTTCCAAGATAATTCCTTTGAAATTATTATAATTTTCCTAAAAATGATTTTTGTTCTCACATAAATTCTTTTTAATTACTATAATTGTCCAAAAATAATTCCGCTGCCAAAATAAATTCTTTTAATTTGTCATAATTATTCTAAAAATACTAATTATCATATTATTATGATTTATCTAAAATCATTCATCAAACAATCCCACGCAGATAATTATTGACAAATCTAAAATTACAGATAATTCATAATAAATACAAAAATTCAGTTTTGAGCAAGTGGGATCTTGCCTTGGGTATATCGTG